ATATGTACTTCAAGCTCTTATGATCAGTAAAAATCTCAAAAGTCTCCCCATATAAGTAGTGGCACTAGGTCTTCAAGGTGTGGATAATTGCAGCAAGTTCCAAGTCATGGATAGTGTAATTTTTCTCATAACTCTTCAATTGCCTGGACTCGTAGGCTATGACCTTACCGTCTGCATCAGAATACAACCCAACCCCATGTAGGAGGCATCACTGTACATTGTATAACCCCCTGTCCCACTAGGTAAGGCCAACATGGATGCAATAGTCAATCATTTTTTGAGTTCTGTAAAGCTCATCTCGCAGTCTACGTTTCATTCAAACTTAATATTCTTCTTTGTGAGCTGGATCAATAGAGTTGCTAGATTGAAAAACCCTTCTACAAACCTGCGGTAATAGCTTGTCATTCCCAAAAAGTTACGAATATTCTTAATCGATGTCAATTTCTCTCATCCAGGTACTGCCTCAATTTTTTCATGATTTACTGATACTCCATCTTTTGATATGATGTGTCCTAAAAAGTTAGTTTACTCGAGCCATAAACCATACTTGCTCAATTTGGCATATAATTTTTTCTCCTTAAGAATCTGCAAAACTTGGTTCAGGTGATGAGCGTGTTTCTTTCTGCTCTTTGAATAGATCAGGATATCATCGATAAACACAATGACGAACTGATTCAGGAATTGTCTGAAAACTCTATTCATCAAGTCCATAAAAATGATTGGCGCATTGGTTAGTTTAAAGAGCATGACCAGAAACTCATAATGTCTGTGTGGGAATGTCCTCTGCCCTGATCTTTACTTGGTGATAACTCGAACGCAAATCTATTTTGGAGAAGACCTGAGCACCATGCAACTAGTCAAAGAGATCATCAATTCTGGAGATGGGATACTTGTCTGATCGTGACCCTATTTAATCCCTGTAGTTAATACATAATCATAACATCTGGTCTTTTTTCCTGTAAATGTAACTCCGGCACCCCAAAGAGATACATTATATCGGATGAACCCACTATCCTGTAATTCATTGATATATTTTTTCAGTTTTTTCATCTCAATACGGCTCATGTGGTAAGGGGCCACTGAGATAGGTTGGGTGCCAGGCTAGAGATCTATAATAAACTCAACTTTTCTGTCCACTGGCAGTACAGGTAATTCATAAGGGAACATATTAGAGAAGTCTCGAACTACTAGAATCTCTTGAATGCAGATTTTTTTCTTACGTTTGTCTAATATAGAGAAGACCACAGAGTTAAACACTATGAAATGAGAAAATTACATTTAAAATTTTTATTAACTTGTAAACGGCTCTTTGTTAAAAGGGTTGAATACAAGTTTCTTGTGGAAGTAATCTACAGTGGCATAGTACGTCGCTAACCAGTTCATCCCCAGAATTACATCAAAGTCTCTTGTGTCAATTTCTATCAGATCCACACTTAATTTCTTATCTACTACATCTATGACACAAGCTTTATATATAACCTCATCTAGTAGTGTCCTACTTATAGGAGTGGACACAAACAACACAGAAACAAGTCATTTCAATGATACATTTAAGTTTTGTGTAAAAGTATGTGAGACAAACAAATATGAAGTACCAGTATCAATCAAAACATGTGTAAGGTGATTACAGATAGTGTCCGCATCATGTATCATGTCTGGATTGGCTTCAGCATCCTGTTAAGTGAGGTTGTAAGCTCTGACCTGAATAGGAGGTCTGACCTAATTCTGGTTCTACGAGCACTCTCTCGTATAGTGTTGGGTACTACCACATATGCGGCAAGTATTATTGAGATAATAGTAGGGTCGGTCCTTATGATCCTTGTTACATAGCTGATAAGTCGTACCGCGTCTTGTTATTGGAGTCTGAGAAGGAGACTGGGTCACTGGTCTAAGCCTCTTATTCTTCTGAGCTGGTGCAGTGGATGCTAGTCTACAGTGTGAAACCAGGGGTCTGGGATTCTCCATTGCTGGAGAAAAGATACGAATGTTCCTCTTCACTAATTGTGCCTTGGCCAGAACGACTGAGTAAGTACTGAGCTCAAATACGTACAGCTGCTATCTGATATCAGGGCGGAGGCCCCACTCAAACTTCCTTACCTTCATGCCTTCATTCGTCATGCTCTTAGAGAAATACCAGTTTAACTTTAGGAACCTTCGGGCATACTTCGACACAGTTATCTCACAATGGACTAGGTGTGTAAACTCTATTTTTTTCAAATGTCGGAGCTGCTCTGGAAAGTAATATGCATTGAAGGCTATTAGGAACTGTTCCCAAGTGACTAGAACGGGCAGGGTGGCCTGCTTGAGCTGCCACCAGCGGCCTTCCTCTCCCATAAGCATGTAGGTAGCAAGTATAACCTTATGTTCAGGAACCACCCCAAGAGTCGCGAAAGCCTTCTCTGTCTCAGCTAACTAAAACTCAGCTTCTTTAAAAGAGGATACCCCTATAAAGGTAGATGAGTTTAGTCTCTTGTATATCTCAATATAGCCCGGGTCCATCATAGGTAGAACTGGGTCCCGTAGAAGAGGAATTGAATTGTGTTGGAGAGGGGCCCGGTGGCTCTGTAGTGGTACTAGATGATACGGTGGAGGCACTGGATTGTACTGTAGTGGTGTCAGATAGTATGGTAGAGGAGCAAGATTGTATCGTGGTGGCTTTGGATCTTTTTGCTGCAAGGGTGGCTCAAATTGTGGTAGCGGGGGAGGGTCAGACAGCTCCCTCCTCTCCTCTTGGGCCTGTTGGGCAGAGATTAGTCTCTCTAACATCTCAAAGAATCGGTCGACATCCTCTCAAAGTGAGCCATCTCGGGCTGCTCGGTTTAGTAGAGGTCTTCCTCTCCTCATTTTTTGTACCTGCATTTCACAACGAAAGATTGAGTGATAGTTTTATATTTCTGAGGAACGTAGCTCTGACACCAACTGTAATGACCTGGAATTAAAAGAAAAATAAATTCATATATTTAATGCGGAAGCATATAATAACGTTAGGGTTTTCATTCCTTACACATAAATTTAAATGCCCAATAGGGCTACGAAAATATCTTTTTATAGAGGTTTATAAAAAAAAATAAATATATGAAAATAGTAAATAAATATTGTAGGGAGGTTAACCTCCACTAGCTCTTGATAGGATCTAGAGGACACCTACTCACAGTCCTCCTACTGATTAGAATCTGAATCTTAATCTTCTTGATCTAAAATAGTTAATAGGAGTGAGTTACACTAGCCCAATAAGAATATCACACTACTCACCTATACGAAAACTAAACATTTATAAGAAAATATAAAACGACTAATAGAGCTTTTAATTTAAGTAAGTTCATTTATCACAAGAAAAATTATTTATTGCATACTTACAGTTATGAGATGTCCCAAATGAACCTATAAAGATAATAACTCAATAACATTATGATTTCTTATACAAGTGAGCAAGAACAACAATTTTCTTTTTATCTGCTTACTGGTACCTCTAGGGTCCATAGGGATATCCTCCTATG